GATATAGACTTTCTGTGATAATTACCTTTTTTAAAGATTATTTAAAATTTTATCAATTTAAATTTTTAATAATATATATTTTATTTAAAATCAAATAAATATTTTTATTTAAAATATTTTAAATTAAATTAAAAATATTTGAAATAATAAAAATATTTATTATATATAATAAAAATCAATATATTTTCATTCTTTCTTATCTTACTTCCTTATTTTCTTAAAATATACCGTTAGTTTTGAATCAATATATTATTTTATGAACGATGTCAAATATACATCAATGTAGAATATATGCATTCTTTCATAGAATTGAATTTCTTAGAATATAATTTTAAATGCAATTATATTGCTGTGGAATCAAATTTATCATTCTTGAATAATATTCTCCATTTATTTTTAAATATATAACATATTAAAATATCATTTAATTTTATAAAATTTAATAAAATTTGTATAATATTATTTTTTACTTTCTATATCTAAACGAATGTATATGATTAGATATTAATCATTAATTTAATGAAAAAATCATTATATTTTTATAAATTTGTATTTAATTCTTTGTAAAATATTACATAATTTTCATATTTATAAATGATTAATTTATTATTTAATGCTACATGAAATTCATGAAAAAATCAAATAATAATATATTTGATAAAGTTTTATTAATAATAAATATTTAATTACTAAAAATTTTTATATAAATCAATCGAATATTTAGAATATAATCTTATTTCATTCAGGAAGTTTAAAACTTTGAAGCGTATCTAACGAGACATTTATACTGATTTCATTCTTCTGGCAAATTACGGACGCAGAACAGTTCTAAATTTCTTTCATTTGCGATTAAATTTGAACTTTTAATTTACACATATTATTAACAATTATAAAAATATAAAAATTACTTATTTAAGTCATTTATGTCAGTCAGATATTTTTATATATATAAATTGTATTCTAGTTTATTTTCATATTTCATATTAAATATATATATATATATATANATTTATTGAAATATATTTTTTTTATTCACATATTTTTAAAATAAATGTAAAAATTAAGTTATTAAAGCAATAATATTATAAATAAACAATAATTTATGATTAATAATAAAATTTAATTGCAAAACTTTTTAATGACATTTAATATTTTAAAATAATTCATATATTATATTTGTATTTATTATTTTATTTAAATATAAAATTATTTTATTTTTTTATATATAATTTCTGTGTGTTTTAATTTCAATTATTATAAATAATTACAAACTTATATATTGTAAAAATTAATCATTAATTTTTTATCACAAGAAATTGTTTTTTTTTATAAAAATATGACGAAACATTTGTACCTTAACCTCAAATTTATTTTAGTTTCTACTATGCAATACAAATTATTTATATGTTATTAAATTTTTAAAATATTTTTTTAAAAAAGTAATATTGTAATTATAATAAAATTTAAGTAATTATAACATAATATAAAATTTATTGTAAAAATAACAGTAAGAATAAATAATGTTTATTCAAAAACAATATATTTTAATAAAATATGTGATATGTTAAAATATATAAATATATACTAATATAATTATATTATCTATTATATTTCATAAATTATATTATATATTTTTTATAAATATAAACGAAAATATAAAATCTGTTAAGTATCTGTTAAGAACAATATATTATTTTTAATAATGTGAAATATTTTAATGTAAAGTTTAAACATCTAAGTTTTAATATCTAAAAACATATACATTTCACTAAAATATTTTAATCAAAAATAAATCATTAAGGAAACGGCATAATTAAAATAAATATTTTATTAATCATAAAAATTATTAACTATTAACTATAAAATGTTGTACTTTTATTTTTCACGAAGAATATATTCTATATTTGTAACAATTGTTGCTCTAAGTTTGAGTATAATAATTTATCAGGTATATCTATAATTAACTTTATAATTCCATAATATAATAATGAAATGCTTATAAAAAATATCAATGATAATAATAAATTAATAATTTTTTTGATTTATAAATATATACTTATTAAATAATATTTTAATATTAATAATATTATACAAATTATAAAGATATATTATAAAATAAATATAAATCAATATTTATTAAAATTAACATTATTAACAGATATATTTAATTCTTATTGGCAATAAATTACATTATTCAGGTATATAGAATGTGTCAAGTTTTGTTTAATATTTTTATAAATATAAAACATAAATATTTAAATTATTGAATTAAAAGATATTTTAATTATATTTTTTAGACGTACCTGTAATTTTATGGTGGACACCTTTTGGAAATGATGAAAAATTACGGGACTGTGAAAATTATCAATGTTATTTCACAAGTAATCGATCCTTTCAATATCATAATCAAGTAAAGGTAACATATATAATTTTTATATATAATTATAATTTAACTTAAATATAAATTCTGAAAAATAAAGATTTAAATAATTTCAATTATTTTTTTAAATTTAAAATAAAGTTAAATATATATTACAAATTGAATAATTATTTTATTTTTTTCATTCATAATCATTGTAAAATTGTTGAATTATTAAGAATTAAAATAATTATAAATTAGTAGTAATATTAATAAATAAGAATTGATCAATTTATTATTACAAGATTAATTATTAAAAATTTATTAAATTTCATAATATATATAAATGTAAAAATTGCTTATATTTGTTTTTTAAATTAATTGAGATTATTTTTAAAGAATTCATATTTTTAATTTTTAATTTTCAGAGTTTCCTGTTTTATGGTAGCAGTTTTCAAATTAATGATTTACCAAAGTGGAAATCCAATGAGATTCCATGGGGTTTATTTCATGAAGAATCTCCTAGAAATAATCCAATCTTAGTCCAAGAGGAAACTCTGAATCTTTTTACATATTCCTCAACATTTAGTAGATTTAGTGATATACCTCTTACTCTTGTAGATCTACCTGGAATTACAGAATTATTAAGTCAATATAAAAAATTAAAAATCCTAAAATATATATATGTTATAAAAATTATGTTTTCATAATAATATAAATTATTGGTTTTACAGGTAGAAAATATTTTGTATCGACTAAACAAAAAACTAAATTAATGTATGAAAAAAATTTAGCACCATTACTTTACATACAATCTGATTGCGATACTGCAAGTAATAGAGATAGTTATGTAGCTGAATTAATGAAATATATACATATAGATTCATATGGTACATGTTTAAATAATGCTCAACTTAATAAAAGGTAATATATTATACATACACATTCATATATGTAGATTTAAATAAAATTAATTTTTTTTTATTATTTGTATAATGAGTTAATTATAACGTATTATTAAATAGATTAAAGGAAAATTACCTTGAAGTATTAAATAGAGAGGATTTTCTTTCATTCAATGCCAATTATAAGTTTACAATAGCTTTTGAAAATGCAGTCTGTGACGATTATATCACTGAAAAATTATGGAGGCCTCTTATTGTTGGATCTATACCTGTATATTATGGATCACCATCATTTAAAGTATTAGTTAAAATTTATAATGTAACAATTATTTTATAATAATTTATAATATAATGCAATGTATCACATTGATTCATATTTTTTTATAAAAATTAA